GATTATATGCAAGCAATGTTGTATTACTTCGTAACATGCAGGGGAATAATGCTACTCATAAAGTATAATGTAGATATACACATACAAATATTCAATATTGGTATTGTGAAATATATTTTCATCTTTGTTTAAGTTTCGTACAAAAATGCTATCAAAGCAGTATATGACAAATTGATTGCTATGCTCTAATTATAGACGTTTTATCTAAGTTAGCTTGTTACAATAAAAAAAGCAGCCCCTTCAAAACAATATATATGTATATTGATAAATACAGTACGTGCATCATTCTTCTTAATAGCTTATCAAAGTATTTTTATTGTACGAAAATGCATACAGACAAGCAAATAATTTCTGTGAACATGAATTGAATTTCATTAACATTATCGTGGACATGAATTATTAAATGTTAAGACAAATAAAAGCATTTCGAGCATAATATAAAAATTTAATGTCTTCAATCCTTCATAGCTTCCTCTGAAACTTGTGCAGGCGTTGCCGGTTCGTTATCTTTCTTTTTCTTGCTTCCCGATACTATATCATCAATTCTTAACAACAAAATAGCTGTCTCAACGGCCGTTTTGTATGTTTGTAGCTTAACAGATAGTGGTTCCCAAATACCACGCTCTTTCATATCTACCAATTGACCAGTTTCTCCATCGATACCCCATGTCATTCCCTCAGTAGCATGTTTTGCACGCAGTGCAGTCATTGTTCTAATGGTGTTAGCTCCACAATTCTGTGCAAGGGTTCTTGGAATAATTTCTAATGCCTGTGATACAGCTTTGTAAGGCCATTGTTCTACGCCAGCAAGCCTTGATGCTTTTTCTGCCAGAAGTCTTGCTACTGCCATTTCTACTGCTCCTCCACCTTTAATAAAAATTATTAATACATTTAATTTAAAATTATTTAATATACCATGCTCGTGTATCATAAATATTTAGACTAAACTTATATATACCTGGCACCAATTTTGGTTCAATGAGAAGATTTCTTCCAACATGTAGAGCATCTTGTAGGTTTCTCTCTGTTTCATTTAGAATGTCTTTACTGGCGCCTCTCAATATTATAGTACATGCCTTGGGATTTTTACATTCCGTAACAAAGCAGAAGTATTCATCTCCAACCTTTTTGATTTCAAACAGACCAGCATTAGTACCTACATCTTCTTCCCTTAATTCTTCTGTACGATTAACAACAGTAGCACCGCAAGCTCTAGCAATTCTGTTCATATCGCTCTTCCTCAATCTACGGATAGCAGAGATTCCAGCTTTCACAAGATAATGTTGAGCTAAATCTGATACCCCTTTCTCTGTGAATACCACAGTGGGTTTCACAGCTATTATGTCCTCACAAATCTTTTTAACGTGCTCTTCTTCTAGTTCTAAAATCCTTGTAAAATCTGTATCTTTCAGTATTTCTATATTGGTCTGTGACTCTCCCTTTTTATACTCCAGAGGGCAATCCAACAAAACTATTCTTGGATTTTTAATATGTCGTTTCATTTTTGGATGTGTGACATCTTTATTGATCATTACTCCCTTGAGTACAATACTCTCTTCGATAGTACCACCAGGAATTTTCTCTATTTTCGCATAACGTTTTATATCAATCTCCTTCCTGCCTCCTTCTTCATACATAACAGTCAAGACTGCATCTAATGCTATCTGACATGCTAATTCAGGCCAACGACCAAAAATTTTAGTTCCTACGCAAGAACTAATCACTTGAATAAGTTTGCTTCTATCACTGGTGTCCAAGTCTATGCTGACTTGATCGTTAAGAATGGTTACCATATCTTCCAAAGCTTGACGGAATGCTCTGATGATAATTGTTGGATGCATGTTCTGCTCAAGAAAAGGTTCTGCTATGGCCAAAATTTCTCCTGCCAATACAATAACTGACGTTGTACCATCACCAACTTCTTCGTCTTGAGTTCTTGCAATTTCTATCATCGATTTTCCAGCAGGATGTTGTACCGTTATTTCACGTAGTATAGCATTTCCATCGTTGGTCATGACTATTCCTCCCATTGGATCCATTAACATTTTTAACATAGCTTGCGGTCCTAGACATGTTCTAATGATATCTGCGATTGCCTTTAAAGGATAATATAATTAGAATGAATCTATTTTTCTATTTCAACAGTAAAATAAATATTTTAATATACTTTTACAAAAGTTTCTAATATAACAGCAAAAGTTTACAATAAATGAAGTAATTTACTTATGACTTACTTCCGGGCTATAAATTGCACCGGAAATTATTAATTTTAGTAAATACAGTTATAAATAGTACATATTAACGAGATGTTCGTCGAGGAAAAAACACGTGGGCGTGCCGACGATCGAAGACCATAAATGGTAAATCAACGGATTAGTGATAGTACTCACCTTGCCGGCTTGAATATTTTCCCTTTGTACTTTCCGGCCGGAATCACGTCTCGTATTCTGACCTGCAATAATCGAAGCATACGACATCGTGAGAAAAATAGATTTTTGGTTCGAGTATCTAAACAAACGAAATTCGGCATGGACATTGTATTCACTTACTTAAAACTACGATCGGAGCACCTCCTGGTCCGAACATTTTACTATAGTTCTTTGAATAATTAAATATTCTGACAGAAAATGACACTTAAATAAACGCTTGATTCTTCCAGAAGAAAACGAAAGATCAGACCTTGTCACATTAGCTTCTACAGAGAGGAAACTCTAGTACATACTTTGTTCCGAAAACGATTACAATGCGCATGAGCCCTAAGTAATATTATGGTGAATTTAGCTCTATCAAAGATTGCAATGCATCAATTGTGAATTTTCAAATGAAATTGAAAGACAAATTAACATCTATGGATTACCTGAAATTACAATTACAAACTTTTTGCACCTTTTTTATCCAAAATTATAAAATGACATAATATGGCGTGACAAAAATAAAATTAACAAATTTAGTAACAAATACTGAAGAACTACAAAAATGTATATCTAGTTAAAAATATAATAAAAGCAAAAATATAGTGTCTGTCATTCTAACAAAAGTTCGAAGTAACAAATACTGAAGAACTACAAAAATGTATATCTAGTTAGAAATATAATAAAAGCTAAAAATATAGTGTCCGTCATTCTAACAAAAATCTTGTCTCAGCGAAGATCTGTGATAAGATACAAACTCTTTGAATAATGGAATAAAAATGTGTACAGTAACAAAATAAAATACTTTTAACGATTAGAATCATGAACCTAAGGATATATGGACGGAACATATAACCTGACTTTTGACAAGGAGGAAAATGAGATTCGCCATACATGCACTCCGGCTGTATTCAATTTGATTAAAATTCACTCGGAAAGTACGAAAATAGTCGAAGTGCATGTAGACTCCCCTTATCGCGAATTTCAGACCCCCTTCGTCCAGAGACTCCGTCCATTCTTAGGTCCATGCAGGCCATGTGTCCGAATATAACCGAGAACGCACGAAAATAACCGAAGTGTATGTAGTCTCTCTTTACCGCGAATCTCAGACTCCCCTAGATGTAACGCTCCGTCAATATTATGTATTCTTAAATCCATGGCTGGAATGGATCAAGATTAAGATTGATTGGTTATTAAATTCACTTAAGTTTACCATTGGTCAAAATGACAATGTCAACAAATGAAATTACGAACCGATAGGGTTCCACGTTAGGTACATACTTGTTTTTGGCAGCCTCAGAGCATATTGCATGCTCAAAGATGACAGTACTCACTTCTGAGTTTTAGTAACATGTGCATTGCTGTCAGCATAAAAATATAAAATATGTCCACACTTGTACTTATATATTAAAAGTGTAGAGTACTCCAGTTATAATTTAAACAAATCTTTAAATATTTTTATTTTCGTAGCACACTCAAATATTAAGTTGATTTTAATGTATTATAATGTATTGAAATGAATGAAACATGACGATTCTTTTTTCTTGGAATTATTTTTGCATGTAGAATCATGTTATGCATGTGTATATAATAAGTAGAAACGTTAAGTTATGATCAAACGCTTCATCGAAAGCACATTGAAAATTCGTAACTATTTTATTAAATACAAAAATAGTTACAGAATCAATTTCATAATAAAATTTTTATTCTTTTTGTATGCATTTCTTCTTGCCTTGAATATGGTTCTAGTTTCAGATTTTTTCTGTTGTTAAAGTTTACTTTGCAAAATTGTCTATTTTATTCAACCTTGGAACTTATAACATTAAACGAAATTAATATACCAGAAAAGTAAGATGTATATATTTTGATTTTAAATTCTCGGGTAAAAATAACTAATTTTTCTACGTGTGTTACATGTATGTAATAGCTTGGTTCTCTCAATTTCAACGATATTTCCAGTTGTTGAAAGTAGCTTTTCGCTGGTCGTTTGTGTACTACGTACGGCGATGTGTTGTTTTGCAGTAATTGATAGCATAGGAAATCGAATGTTTTCAGAATCCCGAATATCGTCGGGATCCCGTCCACAGACCCGATTCCCGACCCAAACATTGGGTTTCAGGAATTCCCGGGTTCTCGCACACCTCTATTAATTACAAAATAAATTGGCAATAAGAGAAATAATTCTAATTAATGCAATGAACGTCAGAACATCAAATATATTTACGTATATATTTAAATATATTACGTCCTTTTCTAAATTACTAACAAAAGTAAAGTAATAATTACTCTTGATGATATCAAATGCTACGTACACGATCTTCTATAATAATCAAAATCTGATAATATTGGTGATCGTTGTTGCTACACTCTTGTCAATAAAAAGGATATGTAGCTGAGGGAAATTTTTAATATCTGAAAAAATGTAAAGTGATAAACAGATGTTACAGTTTCAAAATGGTAATGAAGACGTAGAAGGAAAGCATCTTACGTTGCACAATGTCGGCATATTTATAGGAAACAATTTGCCTGCGGTTAGGTAAAACGTCTTTTTAGCTCTCAGCATAATCAAAACTAAATTTTTCGCTTCGTTTGGTTCCAGGTTTGTCCAGTTGCATCCGTAAGCAGCGTCGAACATACCTTCAGACTTTATATGCAATAATCGTGAATCATAAACGGACTGGATATTTTTTGGAAACAATGATTCTTGTCGACGTGGCTAATTACTAACGGCAAGAATCATTCGGAAATTATAAACCAATAATTTAAGTTTTCATTTACTTGAGTTGTCAAAAGTTGTCCTGCGACGCAGTAAAGAGTCATTTGTGCAAGCGTATTTACGTAGGAACCAATGTAATAATATATTCCCACAGAATCAGATTTGCTTTTACCAGTCAACGCCTGGAAAATGCTTATTTTGTTATTACTTTACTCTCGTTTTATTCCCGTTTTATTACAGAGAATTACTCCCACTTAATTTACTTACGAAAACTATCTCAAATATGTAGACACAATTAAATACACCGAAATAGATTAATAATACGAGCAATAATAGCATGTATGTATTCTCCATTATGTCGACAGCACTGTAAAAATTCCCAAACAATGATCGCCATCCTTCCGAAAATCGATAAATTGTGATTCATTATCAGTCTTGTATCGCTAACTGTCGCTTACATTGTGTTGTAACGCGTATCAGTTAATTAAAGTTAATTTTTGTAAATATGGATAAATAATTATACTATATAAAGAGACAGTTGCGTGACAGTTAACGAAGCTTCATCCTGTTTTATTGTTGTGTGTATTTATTGTTATTGCAAAGTAAATAGTTCTTCCGTTTATAATAAAGATCTGCAAGAGTTTCTGCAGTAATGCGATTCCTACAGGATGTTACGAAAACAATGATAAAAATATAGTCGTACGATCGAATGTTAAAAAGTTCGCGATGGAAACATCATAAGATCGAACGTTTAACAATCCTTTCTTTTTAAATTAGGAATCATTTTTTCTTTGTAATTAGTAAAAATCATAATCTTCTTTTAACATATCTTTGACCAATTATATACCTTCGAAACATTTCGCATAAAAATAGAAAAAAGACATCGAAGCAGTATACGAGAATTATACCTGGACAAACGAGTGTGATCCATCACGATGTCCGCTAAGTCATGATCAAAACGGTCTGACGATTTAATGCTCGCTAGACGAGTTTGCAGATTCTCTAACTGTGCGGTAATGTGCAGAATTACGGTGCCATAGAACACATCAAATCCGAGATAACAGAATGCTGTAGCTAATATGACAATGAATTGTGAAACATATATTATCTCGTAGTACGGACTATGGGAAACGTCAATTATATAATAAGACGGAAATGGAAACATTGCCGTTTCATTCGTCGTCAGTCGATACGAAATACCTAATTTCGGGAGGACAGTCATAGTAAATAGTATCGGACCAAACGTTGAATAACAAAACTTCATGAATGTTCGTGATATAGCAGCACGCTTTATCATCACGTCCCTTTCTATGTCTGTTTTCGGTTTTTCCCAGTCGCTTGCCATCATCTTCAAGAGTGGTATGAAATCTTAACAGAAAGTAAACAATAAACACATCGCTTTAAAACAACTCGCTTATTGCATTCGATAAGGATTCTGCGTATCTCTGTTTAGATTCATCGGATTATCGCTTTTACTATCATTACCACTTCACCTATACCAAATATTGATTTATCGCAATAGTACTTATATAAAAAAAAACAACTTTAGAGAAAACCGATTGTCCAATACCTGTATTTTTTAAAAATCGATGAAACTTGATTTTCGAACTTTTACAGAGCATATCATTTAGAGCAGTTGAACGAAATATTTGTATTAATTTGAAAACTGTATAAAAGTGTTATACTACCTACTCAGCAGTTTTTAAAAAGATCTGTAATTTTATTCGTATTATAAAACCGATCGAAATTTGAACTGTATTCCAAATAATTTTTTACTGAAAAAAAATAACGACATTGAAATACTCACTTGTCTTATTTCGGTACATAATAACAAATTTCATCATCGATATCATGCATGGCGTGAAGTAACCGATATTCTCCAAGTACATCATTAAACCTTGCGATTGCAACAGTAACACGCAGCCCAAAGGAAAAATGAGAAATATTTGTATAAATATAAAAATCACTGGTGCCCGTAATTTGTCCAAAAGACTTTCTCCACGGTTATTTTCTGGAGGCCACAGACCAAGTAGCCATAAAGGGTAACGATTCAATGTAACTGCCCATTTGTAGTCTACGGTTGCGAATACGGCAAGCGATTAAGGAAACTAACTAGACGAGAATCGTTCGTTGTAAAAAAAGGAACATGTGCGAATATACACCTGCCTGTTCCGGCGCTTCCAATGACATATTCATATTGAAACTCGTCTTGCAGAGCAATTGCTATTCTATACTCCCTTTTCTGTTCTTTTTTTCACTCAGACATATCGCAGCGAAAATGTTAGACCGTACCGTTAAATAACCTGCTGAAAAAAAGGCCACGCTAAATGGTCTTTCACGAAGGGACAGAACAGTGTTTTAATATTTCACCTTACAACGTCTCGCGGAATGAAATTTTTCCAAAGTTGCCGACGAGTGTAGAATTTTCTATTGGAAAGGATAAGTACACACAGCTGTTGTCAATACATTTTGTTGCAGAACTTTTGCAGACGACGAGAAAGTGTTTAGCCGACCTCTGCATATTTTATACCCCGAAGAGGACAGTTTAAAATGGCTACGTAAGGACACATCAGTCATCCCCCGTCGTTTAACAGGTCAGTTGTGGTTTTGGTGACAATCTCGAATAGATGTATATGTATACATATACAATGGACTGTATGATTTATATTTATACTAAGAATTAGTTGTATTTGCTTTGGATTAATTCGAATAAGTTTCAAGTTTGTGCGATGTTTCGGATAAATGAAAGAAGAGGAGACCGCGCTTTCCTAAACTTTCATCGAAAGTATTGGAAAAAGAATTTCTTTGCGTAAAAATTATCAGCAAACGATTGTAAGTAGAACAAACATTCTTGTAGCTCTTGTTCGATCAGATGTATAATCGACAGACAACATTGATTGTAAACTTTTCTGAGAATGTTTGTTTCCTTTCGTAGTCTTTTTCTTAACCCTTTCCCCTCTTACACTTCTTTCCACCCATTTGTCTACCTCTTTTCTTATAAATTTCGTCGTACTCTCCACTGGTTTTTCCTTTACTTTCTCTTCGGCGTTTCCCCCTTCTTCACTCATTCCTTTTCATCACTAACTCTTTCGCCTCCTGTTGACCATCTTTATCTTTTCCCTCTTTTCACCCTTCTTTGACCCTTTCGTTTCCTCTTTAAGACCGAAAGGTAAGGTAAGGTAATAGGAAAAGTGCAAGAAAATAAAGTAAGATAAAGTGATTTCCTTAATTTAATTTCTTAATTTAATCAAAAATGGAAAATATACATTTTAATTAACATTACAAGAATATAAAATTAATATCGGTTCGTGTAAATCAATATCGTGTATGTAGTCAGTTTTTCTTTACGTGAGTAACAACTGGCAATTTTTTACGAAAAAAAGATATTTTTTAAAACAATTTTTTATTTTTCATGTCGGTAATGCAGAAAAATGTACAGATTTCAACGCGAGCGATAGTGGCGACATCTTGTGGTTGTTAGTAGAAACAAAAATTCTTACACAATTATCTGCGTAATTTTAATTTTACCTAACTACGTCAAATCTTTTTGAATCGTGTCACTTTAACAGAACTAAGTCAAATTGAAGCATATTTTTTAAAAGTGTATATAATGTAACATTTCTCTTCGTAAAAAAAATATTTCTTCATAACTGTCTAATATTTTCCACCATTTTCTACAACGTATATCCTATACAGAAGATCAAAATTCATTTTACGTACCATTGAATATATATATATATATATATATATATTACCGGAAAATCACTACGTCGATATGTAATTGAGAAATTACAAATATTGTGTAACATAAAACATTACTATTGAATCCACCAATTTTAGTAAAAAGTGTATTATCANAATATTTCACCTTACAACGTCTCGCGGAATGAAATTTTTCCAAAGTTGCCGACGAGTGTAGAATTTTCTATTGGAAAGGATAAGTACACACAGCTGTTGTCAATACATTTTGTTGCAGAACTTTTGCAGACGACGAGAAAGTGTTTAGCCGACCTCTGCATATTTTATACCCCGAAGAGGACAGTTTAAAATGGCTACGTAAGGACACATCAGTCATCCCCCGTCGTTTAACAGGTCAGTTGTGGTTTTGGTGACAATCTCGAATAGATGTATATGTATACATATACAATGGACTGTATGATTTATATTTATACTAAGAATTAGTTGTATTTGCTTTGGATTAATTCGAATAAGTTTCAAGTTTGTGCGATGTTTCGGATAAATGAAAGAAGAGGAGACCGCGCTTTCCTAAACTTTCATCGAAAGTATTGGAAAAAGAATTTCTTTGCGTAAAAATTATCAGCAAACGATTGTAAGTAGAACAAACATTCTTGTAGCTCTTGTTCGATCAGATGTATAATCGACAGACAACATTGATTGTAAACTTTTCTGAGAATGTTTGTTTCCTTTCGTAGTCTTTTTCTTAACCCTTTCCCCTCTTACACTTCTTTCCACCCATTTGTCTACCTCTTTTCTTATAAATTTCGTCGTACTCTCCACTGGTTTTTCCTTTACTTTCTCTTCGGCGTTTCCCCCTTCTTCACTCATTCCTTTTCATCACTAACTCTTTCGCCTCCTGTTGACCATCTTTATCTTTTCCCTCTTTTCACCCTTCTTTGACCCTTTCGTTTCCTCTTTAAGACCGAAAGGTAAGGTAAGGTAATAGGAAAAGTGCAAGAAAATAAAGTAAGATAAAGTGATTTCCTTAATTTAATTTCTTAATTTAATCAAAAATGGAAAATATACATTTTAATTAACATTACAAGAATATAAAATTAATATCGGTTCGTGTAAATCAATATCGTGTATGTAGTCAGTTTTTCTTTACGTGAGTAACAACTGGCAATTTTTTACGAAAAAAAGATATTTTTTAAAACAATTTTTTATTTTTCATGTCGGTAATGCAGAAAAATGTACAGATTTCAACGCGAGCGATAGTGGCGACATCTTGTGGTTGTTAGTAGAAACAAAAATTCTTACACAATTATCTGCGTAATTTTAATTTTACCTAACTACGTCAAATCTTTTTGAATCGTGTCACTTTAACAGAACTAAGTCAAATTGAAGCATATTTTTTAAAAGTGTATATAATGTAACATTTCTCTTCGTAAAAAAAATATTTCTTCATAACTGTCTAATATTTTCCACCATTTTCTACAACGTATATCCTATACAGAAGATCAAAATTCATTTTACGTACCATTGAATATATATATATATATATATATATATTACCGGAAAATCACTACGTCGATATGTAATTGAGAAATTACAAATATTGTGTAACATAAAACATTACTATTGAATCCACCAATTTTAGTAAAAAGTGTATTATCATGTGCGCGTAAAAGATTATTTGTTTAAGAATATAGAAAACTTAATATCTTCTGTTATACAAAGATACAAATACATATATGCGTAGGAAATTGGAAAGTTACCAATTTGTGAGCTTTGTGCGCGAACTTACAAACTGTACATAGTTTTGCGTATTATGCATTGTGCACAAAAATTTATATTTTCTATATAATACGCGTATATTATAGGTATAGAAGCTTGTGATTGCGCATAACTTCGTCAGGCTGTGCAACGTGCAACGTCTATATGTATAGTCTATAGCCTACAAACTACATGATCCTTAGCACAGCAGAGCCATCTGACATATAGGTTTTGGGAAGTCTGGTCCAGTCTGTTCAGTGTCTGAAACCATCTGATACGTTCATTTGGTGGTTCACTTCTTTATTTCTTGCGTAGATAGTAAAAATGAATGTGGTGGCAAAATCGCCAAACGTGTCGCCGATTTTAAAAGCGGCGACAACCGTAGTTACGAATGGATTTGCACCCGTAGCTGGTAGTGGTGTTGCAGCGAAACCTAAAATTCTCGTTAAACCTGTCGCCAGTATACTGATTAATCAAAGTATTTCTGACAGTCTTTTCTGTAGATCTCTGCGTGTAAGCTCAGGAATCACAGGTTTGAAGCTTTTTTTAAAAATACAATCTTATTAGTTTTTATGTTGGTTGGTGGCAAACTATGAATTTCAATATTTCGATTATATAATCGTATCGTACACATAGTGTACGATTTACAGAACTCTGTACTATCAATCGATCCACTGTGTAATGATAGAAATTAACATGTCAGTCTTTCTATCTGTTACTATTTATTACAGATGACATTATTTATAACTGATGTTATTTATATTTGATTTTATTGTATCAGGAGCTACGCAAACATCGCAGAAAAGATGGGCTCATACAGATATTCAGTGGCCAGATTTCACTCCGTATCGAAATGTAACAAACCCAGAAGAAAAAGTAAAAGATAATCAAGCTGCTAGAAGATCAACCGCGTATCTTGTGACTGGAGGTAATAACTATTGTTGGGATTCTTTCGCACGACTTTCTAAATTAAAAATTTCATTTCTTATACAGCTAGCGTGGTTGGTGGTATCTACGTAGCCAAGGGGATTGCCTATGGCTTGGTATCTTACATGAGTGCATCGGCCGATGTATTAGCTATGGCTAAAATAGAAGTAGATCTTAGCACCATTCCTGAAGGAAAAAGTGTTGTTTTCAAGTGGCGTGGCAAGCCACTGTTCGTGCGACACAGGCAAGTGTTTATGTTCAAAGTTTTATACGTTACCTATCTCATAAATAAACATAATGCTTATTATGTAACAACAGATCAGCAGCTGAAATTGCAAAAGAAGGAAAAGTCGATATTTCAATTCTTCGAGATCCCCAAAATGATTTAGAGCGTGTTAAACAACCAGAATGGTTGGTTGTTCTCGGTGTGTGCACACATTTAGGCTGTGTCCCAATAGCGAATGCTGGAGATTTTGGTGGTTACTATTGCCCTTGCCACGGTTCTCATTATGACGCTAGTGGAAGAATTAGGAAAGGACCAGCCCCCCTCAATCTGGAAGTCCCACAATATGAGTTTACTGACAGTAAAACGCTACTTGTTGGTTAATATAGTAATATCTGTAGTGAAATCAATAATTTTATGTATAACAAAACATCTTTTCCGAAAATTGTATCCTTATTTATAAATTCGAAAAACATGAATTTCCGATCTTTGAGAAGTCGATATATAAAAGTATTACCAACACGGTGGAGCTATATCTGTAAAAATCAGGAATAAAGCTTAACCGAAATAGAAATAAATCGTTTAATTCTTTCATACACAGAAAGTATAGTTGCAGTTTATATATTGCGTACTTTTGCGAAGAAAACTAATAGAAATTGTAAAACAATATTTTTTATTTTATGTTTTATTTCCAAACAAATCGATTCGTAATATAATTGTCGATAATAATAATAAATAAGCTTATCATTTACTTTTACAAAATGTTTATCTCAAATTATAAAATTACTAAAAGTACAACTATACAAAATTTCATGCAATGGATTCAATGTGACATTAGTATTTGACACAATTAATTTTTCATGAAATGTTGAAAATATTAAAAACTTTTACGAAACGTTTTTAAAATTTTGCATCTTTCAATAAAAAGAGCACGTCGTAGCTCGGTTGAGAAAATCGTGTGGACGAAAAGAATGCTCCCGCTTCCGCCAGGCGGTGCTAGTATTCTCAAATCAAATTTTCGTATTCACCGTATGACAAGGGCGTCCAGGACCGACAATTCGCCGGCCGGGCCGATTCTCTGCTTCTCTGTTTTCAGTCGCCTTCGCTGCTGGCAGCGTACGGACGGTGTAGCTAAGAGTTTTTCGTGAAAATCGGTTATCTTTCAAAACACCGTTACCATTTCGTATACGATGATACGAAAAGTCCTGGCCCTACGACGAGTGACACTGTTGATCTGACATTTCCGATAAAAACAACAAATGTATTGTTCAAAATGAGTTTCCGCGGCGCGTGGTACCGGTGTCCAGCGGCACGCGCGAAAGGGTTAGAATCGTCTAACACTACCGGTGAAAATTAAGGTGACACTCAGCGTTCTACAGAAAAAAAGAATACGAATAGAACAGACGGGAAACGGATGCGAAGAAAACCGATTTTCGTAAGTTTTATTCTACATTATTATACCTACGTTTCTTTATGTAGCGTAAATACATCGCGTCTTTTCGAAGTATGGAAACACGTATGTGTATGACTGGACACAAATATCAAATTGTCGTGTCAAAACCCGGAAATGCAAATGTTTATTTGGAATTTCACACTCCACTGAATCCTGTGTTAATCAGATTTATTTTGCGATGAGTTATAATTATTTTCAACTTCGTTTCATATTATTACAACGTTTTTAAATAATTTCTATATATCGAACGCAACAATTATGAGGAACATAATAGACTTCGGATCGTATGCATTTATGGCAACTCTGTGTAGTCGCAACTTAATATAGTAAAGAGATTAAAAGAATTAAAAAATGTCTCAATGTATTATATTTTTAATCGATTAAAATTCTTACGGAAAGAAACAATTTGCTATTTAGTTCCTATTTCTTGCAATTGACGAAAATTTTTATTTTGCATAAAAATCCACAGTCTACTGATCAGAGTATACAATATAAGTCAGATTTTCGACTCGTTCCAGTGAATAGAGCTAATCAACGATGCAATGAAATTGTTGAATTTTATTTTGCGACAGCCTTGTTCAATGGATTTCGCGTGTACACACTAACCGTACGTGCGGAATGATAAGAATCGTCGAGCGTCGTGAAACCCTTAGTACACAACTAATCCTTAGCAACTTGAAGCAAGTGTTTTTGTAACCTTAACAGTACATGTTTGTGTTTCTGCACGTTCACCGGCGCGATGCCTTCTGTACATTCGAATCACACTTTGCATCCTGCTAATGGATGCCCGAGGCAGGGGCACGCAGTTTTTGTGACAGTACTTGCGTGCCTTTCGATTCATGTAAACAAAGGCGAGATCGTAATTGTTCGGAGCCGGCATTCTGCTAAGGACGGCCTTGCATATCCGAAGTCGACACGCTCCGGGATTCTGTCGTTACGATTTAGACTGCCGTTCCATTCGAACATCGACTAGAACGAGAAGCAAAATCGAAGATTGAATCGACCGGTGACAACGTTCGGTAAGATCATCATATTAGGTGTTACTGGTGCGTTCGAAGTAGCGTTTCAAGTTAGTTTTAGTTATGTACATATATTGAAAAATACGTACGGAAGATTTGCGAAATGTCGTTCAGAAAGATATGCAAAAATATTATTACAGTTGATTAATTGTTTATTTATCTTCGTCGTATATTTATCTTCGCCATTTACGAAATGCATGCATTCTATTATAATTACTTGTTAGATCGTAACTTTTAACTTCAAGCACCGCTTTTATTATAAAGCTACTACTTAAGTTTCGGATTAAAATGAACTTACTTCGATTATACTACCGTACGCATATACGATCTAATTACGAGGGGAAGATGTCTACACTTAACACACATGTTATATGAACATTTCGAGTGACCGATTCAAATAAAGATGGTAACGAAAGTACGATTCTTACGATTCAAATTACAGTGGATTTAAAATGAATCGATTGGAGTAAATATAATGTTGAAAGGTTAATTTAGAAATGTTTCTGAATCGATTTGCTTTCATTTGCTAAACTAGTAAATTAAATATAGTACGTATTATGCGCATAATGCTTTTGAAGCACGTTATAAATATCTTCGCAGTGGCGGACTGGAAAGGGTTAATACTAAATTAGGCCATTGCAGCTAGATTGGTATCTTGACGATCTCGTTGCATAATTGGAGAGTATCGCATTTCTAACATCCGCCGTACTGCCAACGCTCCTTCTCCGGATGAGCAAACACACGCCTAAAAGGTTCATTTTTCCCGCGTCGCGGTATTTCGGTTGCGCGCAAGTTAATTGCCCTCCCGGTAACATTCGAATAGAGGCGACAAAGTGCTTCGCGTTCCTTTTCTTTTTTTTCTTTTTCTTCCGTACACTTTGTTATTCAAAATAATGAATATCTGTTCGCGATCTGGTTTACTGTTTGCCATGCCGATGGCTGTCCCATAGAATTTCAAATGTACGAGCGAAGTTGCAAGTGCAAAGGCTTTTGAACGCGAGCTTCCTCCCTCCCTCCCTCCCATCGCCCCTGTATACACACGTCCCCGTTTCTTTTTTTTTTCCTCTCTTTTCTGTTCATTCTCTGTATACGCCTATGGGTAGCTATTGCGCGCGTGTACCGGCGTTCTAATTCTTTATGCAGCCGGCCAAGGAAATTCACAGTAGGAATGTACGGAAGGGAGGTTGCAAAATCCAGTTCCCCCTCGTCTCTCTCTCTCTCTCTCTCTCTCTCTCTCTCTCTATTTTCTTCTTCGTCTTCTTCTTCTCGAAAGAGAGAGAGAAAGAGTGAGGGAGAGGGAGAGAGGCTGTTCCGTGGCCTGCATTCATGGGACGCATTGGGTCGATGGTGTGCGTGTGCGAGCACATGATTAGGTCACGTGTTCATACGTTCTAAGTGCTATTCGACTAAAATCATTCTAATGTTCGCTATTATTATCTGTTCATTATAGGAGACATTTTACGTTAAAGTATCGAGATCTGTTCGAATATACAATAATTTGCAATTAATGTTGCAGTTTTACGTTTGATTTGTTGGTTGATCGAAACGATACGCCATAACAGCAATTATAACTAAAATATTATGATAACATTTTCATATATACAAATTACCCCCGATTTCCAAAATATCGATAATGAAAAACAAAATTTTATTTTGATTGAAAAAAGACTGTTCCTAGTAAGAAAGAGCTATTTTTAGACCGAAATAGTTCCAAGTGCAAAGGATTAACAGAGATTATATATATATATATATAAAGTGCTTCAAATCAACCTTAAAAATACTCACCATATTAAAGTAATTTAATTAATGAAACCAAGACGAGAATGTGGATGCTACTTCAACCCTAGTGAAGTTTAATTTACTCGTACATACCGCAATGAAAATGAATTTCTAAACTTAATTGAAGATTAGAACAGGTTTATAATAATTTGTATAATTCGAAAATAGTTAATATCAATCTTTAGGTATAAATTAACGACTTTACAATTTTGAAGAATTAACAAAACGAGATACTTTTATCACGGTGTGACTAAAACTGAAATGAAATTCACAAAACATTGATAAATCATTAATGACTGCACAGTTACATTGAGCTACGTGTATAGGATGAACCCGTTTTGTTGGAAACCATTTTTACTTGAAAATCTAACTGCATGAGTGACAGCATTTCTTCGGATCACACTCACATTCTTGGCAATGTATTAAATTCAAATAAAGATAGTAATGTAAAAATGGTTTCAAATTATAGTATATTAACACGTTAAAATCGCCATGTGTGTCGCTTATGAATGTCACTAATATTTCACTAGACTTAGAAATTCATTTTTATTCCAATAGATTTGAACAATTTTCTAGATATATTTACGGCAGTACTATTTTTCTATGTATGTAAAAACAGAATTGACTGTATTTGCAAGATTACCAGCATTTTAAATTTTTTCGATTAATTTCAACACGATGCAGACTGCGCAATGCGCCGAGTCGTTTCTTCCATATCTAGCTAATTACATTATTTATTTACATTCTTGTTTTCGCCTAAAGACCGGAGTCGGTCAACTGCTTTGACGCTAAGATATAAAAATATTCGAAAAGCGGAATTAACCGATTTATGGCTTGTGAACAGGTGATCGTACGGGTAGCTGGGTAGTTTAAAAATTGTTGTTTCGGTGGCGGAACGCGTTTCACTCGCAACAATCTAATATTTCCAGTAGCGTGGGTATACGATGGCAACGTCGGGGAATGCGCGAGTGCGTGGTGCTTCCGAAAGTGAGTTGGACACACGGGCCTTCGCGCTGAAGGAGAATCAATAGATGTGCGTTGCATCTTGCCCCGCTTGTCCCCCTTTTCGGCTGCCCCGGGCACCCTTCAGCCACCGACTCGACCTTCGCACGAGCGTGCCCACGGCCGATACGCGCGCTCCTCTCTTCCTCTCTCTTTCCCTTTTTCCCTTCACCCTCTCCCTTTATTCCTATCTCTCTCTTTCTCCGTCTCTCTCTCTCTCTCTCTCTCTCTCTCTCTCTCTCTTGCGCTGTCTTTCCATCTCTGTCGCTCTTCTTCTCCCTCCTCACGAACATCCCTTCTTCGACGATTCATTATTCCGTTTAAGGTGCAGTCGAACCGCCTCTTGGGAAATTTTATTCCTGTGCAATGCGAGTTACTGTTCCTCTTTCCTTTTCGCGGATGAATTCGTGGGCTCGCTCGGGGCTTGAAGCTACAGTAGGACTTCTGCTGTCTCAACCGATCAGGAGAACATGAAAGTTTGGATAGTACGATGATTTGTTCAGTGGACGAACCCTTGAACAGCGTATTTGTTCAAATACAATAACGTTCAATAACTCGTTCAATAACGAGTCATTCTCTTTACGAAGATTTCATATGTAATTCATGAAATGCGAACGTTATTCGTTTCTTCTAGATCGAAACAAAATTTCATTCTTAACCAAATAAAAATCGATTGAAAAATTTCCTGTTTTACATCGACCTGTTTTACTTCGATATCGAAGGGGTCGAAGTTCGACCGAGAAGGTATAGTAGTTGCGTTCTGTAATCAAGGGCGAGGGGAAGGCTGAACCGGGGGGGTAAAGGGAAGGAAACGCCATCGTGGTAGGTGTGGAGGGGGAAGTCACCGATAAGGAGTTTTGCGGTTTTGCGATATCGGGATTTTGGTCTCGTTGAGATTTATTAAAGTAACGTTCTTTTTTATCTCGGTATAATATTGTAGAGAGCGAGAGAGAGAGAGAGAGAGAGAGAGAGGGGATGCATTGCAGCGGTTGTTCTCTCTCTTGCAAACGATGCGGACAGATGTTTTTTCTCGCGCGTTGAGGAAGTGTTTTGAAGAGAGGTGCGATGCATTTATAGAAGTTTGCGGTTTTGTATCCGGAGAGGCTCTCGGATCCTTTATTCGGAAAGTCGTTTGCGAAGCGATATCAGGATTTTGGTCTCGTTGAGATTTATTAAAGTAACGTTCTATTTATCTCGGTATAATATTGTAGAGAGCGAGAGAGAGGGATGCATTGCAGCGGTTGTTCTCTCTCTTGCATGCGGACAGAGAGAGATGCATTTTTCCGCCTTGCAACGGTTTGTTGCCACATCCTTTCCATGATTAGTGATTTTGGAAGTCTTCTTATCCGGTTTTTTCTTTGCAGTAACGATGTGGACAGAGAGAGAGAGAGAGAGAGAGGGAGAGAGAGATGTATTTTTTCTCTCCCTTTTACTGTTTTTGCATATTTGCTTTTCCCTCTGCAGCGAACATTTTATTCGCTACTGAGTTGGGAATTGGTATGGAAGTTGGTTCGTTGAACGTGCCATCGTTGCAATCGTTCGCAACGTCTAAGATATTTGAACACGGTGTTCATAATTTTTCGAGCATTGTTCGACGGATTTTTATTCGATATTGTGATGTTATTTTGTGCGACGTGTACTGCGTTTTTCGTCGGAGATATCCGCACGCTAGGTTTTCATACGTGGGTGCATGCGTGTTCAAACCGCGAGACTTGCTCGATTACGTGCTATACAATAGTATTGATGTTTTAAAAGTAATCGTTCCTTTGAAATCGCAATGTCGTTCGAAGAGATGGTTGAAGAGGATTATTTTTAAATACCGTAAAGAAACTGATTATGTTTGCGTCGAACCAGTGTTGATACCATAATCAAAATTTGAACGGAGTATGACCAGAGGTGATTTCCTCCCTCCATTGAACAAAGTGAAGAGAAGATTGGAATATTCATTGTACGGCTACGACGACGACGACGACGATGATGATTGGGATATTCGTAAAATCAAATGGGACATTAATTTACCGACCGAGAAACTCAATGCTTCACGCGTGAAATTCATATCGAAGTATTTTTCATCGAGTGACGAAGATACGTCGTGAGATGGTTCCTACATTACAGAATTTGGTTTGGGGATACGTCATAAACTTATACCTGAACGATCAATTTCCGCTCGAGTGGAAAACAGCGACGGAACGTCTAATGCGAAAAGATTTGACGAGTCGCGTGAGTTTCATCTACACGAAACGATTTAGCCAAATTATAGTGAAATGGCCCGCGATCGATTCACCGTCCGCGATACTACATATCATCGAGATGGGAGAGCATCGCGTGGTTGGTTGTATAGTGTAGTTACGTTCGTGAGAACTGGAAACTTAACCGACGACGTGAAATCAAAATTGAAAAAACTTCTTTTTAATAATTGATGTGAATTAATATTTTCACAAGATGACGCAAGTTTGCAAGGACATGTTGAAATCGTTAACACATATGTCAAGGATGATTCGAACTGTGGACGAGTATCGCGAATGGACGAAATCATGTATTGAATGTTTACAATGGTGTAGGAAATATATGATCATTGTGAAGAAAAACGAAGCACCCATAGGTGTAAAATCGAGTTTGCTGTCGATCATGTGTCGTATGAAAACTTTGAAGGTCTCGTTAGATCATCGGTTTTCATCACGCGTTGGTAGCGGTTTGTATGGAAACGTTGGCGCGAGAGCATCGACTCTTCGTTGGGAGAACATCGAGTCGGCGTTTAAGAATCGTATATCGACCGGCGTTGTGATCAACGTCGAACATGTCGATCCACGTCATTTCTTGCAACACGCGAAGCGAATAGTTACGAATCGTATTACAGAACTTTTGAACGTTCATTTGTCGTTAAAAGTGAACGTAGTATTGGAGGCAGAATTTGTGCTGCGCGACGAGGTTTCGGTGAAAAGTTTTAGCACGCGAAACGTCGTGCTCTTTCAATCGTCGAATCTACGTCGCTGGTACGCGAAAGATGTTATACCAACGTTTTTGCCATCGATAGAAGAGTTTCAAGAACGAGACAGTGGATGGGCGTTATCGAAGATCCTGCATTCGATGGTGAATTCCAACAAGTATCAGCCGTTACAAGCAGGTTGTGAGGTATCCGTGCCTCGAACAGTGCAATTAAAGAAAGCAGTCCTCAATGTGTACAGTAACGACGATAATGCATGTTTCTATTGGGCAGTGGTGGCAAGCCTATATCCACCTAAAAATAATTTGAATCGCACATCATCCTATCCGCATTACAGCGTCGTGCTCCGCACCGCGGGATTCCAATTGCCGATGTTGTTCAAGGACATACCAAAGTTCGAAAAAGTGAACGACGTTTCCGTGAACGTGTTCGAATGGGGAGGGGAACAAGAAAGATGTCAGACGTTGCATTTGACCTCAAGGAAACGGGAGAAACATGTAAATTTGCTGCTCGTACATGACTCTGAAAACTTGCGCAATCATTATCTCTGTACTAGGAATTTATCTCGTCTGGTTTAATCTCAAATCAGCACGCAGCACAATCAGTATATTTTCGATCGGTAAGATCCACACACGTAAATTTTTTCTTTCTTTTGGATGGTGGTGGTGGTGGTGGGCGAGAAAAACTAAATAAAAAATGATGTTTCTTTCAGGTGTCTTTCAGATCGCAGGAAAAATTGAACATTCACGAGATCGACTGCAGTCGAATGAATGAATGTGCTTTGAAACTTCCGACGGAAGACGATAAGTGGCTGAAGTTCAAGAATTATGCGTACAAGGAACCGATACCGTTCGTTATCTACGCAGACTTGGAATGCATGCTGGAGACGCAGAGAGATCAGGGTCATGGAGCTTATAATAGATATCAACATCAGCATGCCTTCAGCGTAGGCTATTACCTCCATTGTCGATACGACGGTTCGTTGAGCGAGTATCGGGCTTATCGTGATGAGAAAGGTTGCATCGTATGGTTTGCATCGGTGTTTGATCGAACGGTTCCAATGGCTCCGATGACCGCTGCGCAAACTCAACTTTTCATACCGCCACGCATTGTCACGTGTGTGAAGAACCACTCGGTAATGACGACGTGCGAGTGCGTGATCATTGTCATTTCACAGGTGCGTATCGGGGTCCGGCGCACAGCTGTTGCAATCCGAGCTATCAATCCTCGTACGTGATACCGGTGGTTTTTCACAATTTTTCCGGCTACGGCGCACACTTTTTCATCAAAGAATTGGCAAACGCGTTCGAAGGTAAAATAAACGCGTTTACCGCTGACGAAAGAGAAGTACATTTCTTTCACGAAACACACTAAGAGGAATAACGATGTGACCAAATCGCGGAAGAAGTGTATAAAGTTTCGGTTCATCGATTCGTTCAAGTTTTTCAATTCGAGTCTGGACAAGTTGTCGTCGTACTTGGACAAGAGCGACTTGCGTATCGTGAGGAGCCAATTCAATCGTCAGCAAGCAAGTGTATTAAAAACGTTCCTTTGTTTTACAATTTTTTTTACAATTACGAATAAGAATTATGACCGGCAATAGAAGATCGAAGATCAACGGTTGAGAATTTCTGAAAAATAGCTTAATTTATTGATAAGTATGATTTCTTCAAATTGTAAAACGTGTTACTAGAACTCGATTTTTCTTTCGAAGCAGGTAACACAGTTTCGTCAAACGAACGATTTCACCTCTCCGCGACTTACCACCCCCTATCGCCGCGTAGATCCTATCAACCCGAAACTCGACGCATAAATCAAGATACAACGGCGGATAAACAACGATTGCCTTGTATCCGTACGAAACAGAGTAACCCTATGTGTATACCTTCAAATGTCACAGGTTCCATTGATTATACGCAGAAATACCTGTCCGAACGGCGATCGTCCTCTCCTCTGACCATTGAATTATTTAAGGGAATGGTCGCTTAATGATGCTCGCGTCGTTATATTTTTCCCTCCTGCCTGGTTCCCCGCATGTTATTCACTATAATTCTTCGGCTAACGCATGTTTACGGACTGCAACCTCTCTTGCGCGTTTCTCCTTCAGTGTATTTTACTTCTTTTTCTTTTAAATTGTTAGCTTTGAGTATCGAAGAACTGTCTTTGGTATATGCCGAGTAAAAAGTTCGTAAATATGCTAACGATAATGTAAGTAAACATGTGCTAATTAATGTAATGGAACGCGTAGTTTTGTTGTTTGGAAAAACGTTAGTTTGCTGCGATTAAGTATACAGCGAATAACGTGAATATTTGCGAAATTGCTACTATTTTCGGAAATTATTTTATTCGTCACGATGTGAAAATTCAAACAGCTGTTTGAGAATACAGGAACATTTTTAGGCATTGGTGCATATACATAAAATCGAGGATTTTGCATTTTCTTTTATTTTCCATTGATTCAGTTCTTCTGCGTTGCACTTAAACGACCAAGAAAGGCCGCTATAATGCGTGAGCGCCGATTATTGATCTATCTGGTTGCATTTACTTCTACGCCAGAGGCTCCAAGTTTTGGAGGGTTGCACAGGGTGCAACCTTTAACGTGGGTATACATGTGGAAGCCAGCAACAGGGTTGGTTATGGCTATTCGACCCTCCGTGAATTCCTGGGACGAAACTCCTAGTCGAAACTAGTTTGAAAGTAGTTTCGATCGTGCATCCATTTCTCTTCCTTCAATAAGAAGGAAGTAATAAATTCGGACCGTGTCTAGAGTGGTAGAACGACTAGGCAAATCGAAACAGGACTTCCCGAAGGTGCAACAATAATAGCGACTTCGCTATTATCTCGCGTCCTGAATGAGAGCCCGATGCTCTTAAGCGATACACACTTTAAAACGTTGTTCGCCTTCAAGATTTCAAGATTTTTCGAGCCTGTTCTAGTCTCGAGAAATTTCCAAGTCAATTGAGGACACCCCGAAGTAAATTTCTCGAGTAGTCTGCACAGCGTGTCTGCATTATGCACTAGAATGATTTAAAAGTGGCCATGTTGCCAGTGTATTTTTAGGTAGGCCGTGAATCCCACGTGGTAAGCAGAGTTTAATGAAACGTAACCCGCTTGCCTAGGCGTTAATATCGCAGCATCATGGTTCATGGGTGAAGATAGGTAATCGTCATCTTCGTGTTAACGAAAGTGCTTCTATTTACTCGTCTTTATCTCTTATCGCCACGAATTAACTCTATTAAGGCACTTTTCGTTAGCCCAATTAAGGCAATAAATATTTCATTTCTTTTTCGTATATTCGATGCGAATAGTTTTCGCGTTGCAAAAGTAAGCGCAAAGTGCGCCGTATCCTAGACCAGAGAATAATGTTAGGAAAAAGTGTGCATTACGGTGTGGGGTGTCGGCAGGGTGGTCGGACGGCAACGAAATCGGATCGAGCACCGTGAAAAAGCGGCGAAAGCACGGCCAGGTTTATCGTAACCGCGTAAAGCTTGGCCGACCCGTAGTAGGGGCGGCAGCGTGTGTGGGTGTAGGGCGGAGAAAGGGAGGAGGCACAGGTGAAAGTGAAGCGAAGGTGGTCGAGTTAGAGCGGTGTTTGGGAGGGTGAAAGGAGGTTAATGATTAGTTCTTCCGAGGTCGGGGGCTGTTGCCGGGTGCAGGTTGCCTGGCTCCCTTCAGACCGCCCCCAAGGACATCGCTCCCTCCCCCGCGTCCTCACCGTTCCTTTCCCTCTCGCTTTTCGCCCTTCGATCCCCTCCGTGCTCACCGATTCTGCCAACCTCCAAAATTTCAGACCCTACCACCGACGACGCAGCTACGCATACCGAGGGGTGTGAGAGCTTGCAAGGTTGTTCTCCCCTCCAGCATCGCGTTCTGCTACCTTCAGGAACGTATCTAGCGCGCGTGGAATTCCCCGTACGGGGGTGTACGTGTCCCCGTGAAATTTTATATCGGACCGTACACCGACGATGCACCCTGCGGCTTCGACGAAACAATTTTTCCGGGATGGGGTGTCGGAATACCGGAGTGTCCGACATTGCCTTAATTATCGAGCGATCCCAGTTATGCGAAAAGGGAAGCCGTTGCGAGCTTTCGAATTCGGTTTAACCGTTCGCTTAAATATTCGATGGTCTAACAAGGAACGCTGTTCAAATCGTGATAAGGTGGCACGGTCTCTGTAAATTGTTGCAAACCGTTTCCTCGTGAAATGTGTCCTCCTCCCTGAATCGTAGCAGCGGCAGGTCCAGCGAAAATTTGATTATGTGCTATCGATGCAAACATGTGATCAAATGTGATCACTCGTACGTCTGTCATAATTGCAATTTTGACAGCGAATAATCACTGGACTGCGGATCTTCGTGAAAATTTAATAATGTAATTGAAACTATTATTAAAGGTATCGTATATCGTAAATATCGGTAGAAATGTTTAATACAAATGACAATTCGAATAAATGTTCGAGCACAGAGACATGTACATAAACATAGTTTTTACAAAGTCTCACAGTTGATTTTCCAGACCTTTGATTCGCCAAATTCGCCATCGGCCTCATCGTCGCTCGGAAGTTACAGTTCGCCACTTTATTTTCATTGTGAAAGATCTTCGAAGTTACTCGTCTTTGAATGCAGGTCTCTCTCAGGGGTTTAAACCCTCCGAGAACTCTGTTTTCATATTGTAATTCTTGTAAGAGAAAACGGTTATGCAAATGAATCGTCCAGAAGCATGCCACTCGAGGCATCATGCCGGCAGGAAATTTTTCATTTACTATTTCTTATCGCGGGCACAATGGCCCCGTGAATAACAACAGCGTCCCGTTATTAATATGTTTACGCGAGACCCTGTCCAGCCGTGAACCGAATGCACGGTGTCACCTGCTTAATCTGACTACCAGATCGCGGCCAAAGTGAACGCATCTCGCGCACCGGTGTCCACGGTGAACAGCTGAAAAATAGCCGTGAACGTATCTCGGCGACATCGGCATACGTTAAACGCGCTAAGCAGATTTCGAACACCTTTCCTACTCGACGATTCAGATATTCCTCCCGGTACGGAGCGGCTCGTTAGTTCGTACGAAATGTCTCTATCGTGCTCGAAACCGAAACAGGAAATTGCTGTTACGCGGGTGTTATAATGCAGATTTTTTGTGCATAGCGTAAATTTTCACGATCGATTGCAAGGAATGAGAGCGCGAAGCGGAGCTTTTAACCGTCTTTATTTGATGATCCTTATAAAAGCGACCGAACTTGGAATATAATTTTAAATAAAAATTTTAGAAGCTCGCTCTTGACGTCTTCGATAAAAATGGTATTAATAATGTAAAAATCCTTTCAACAGTTTACATCGGACAAATTTATCTCATCTGAATGCAATATAATGTTAACACTTTATCGACCGCTAGCCTATTTATCGGCTTTTCGATTGCCAATGTTTATCGATCGCTAGCCTATTAATCGGCTTTTCGATTGCCAATGCTTATCGACCGATAGCCTATTAATCGACTTTTAGCTATCGACGGTTTTCGCTTCTTTACTGTTTTGTTAGTAGCTGACCTCCTGTATGCTGACCTCCCCATATCCTTATGAATTATAATTATAATAATTATCTTATTATTNGACATCGCTCCCTCCCCCGCGTCCTCACCGTTCCTTTCCCTCTCGCTTTTCGCCCTTCGATCCCCTCCGTGCTCACCGATTCTGCCAACCTCCAAAATTTCAGACCCTACCACCGACGACGCAGCTACGCATACCGAGGGGTGTGAGAGCTTGCAAGGTTGTTCTCCCCTCCAGCATCGCGTTCTGCTACCTTCAGGAACGTATCTAGCGCGCGTGGAATTCCCCGTACGGGGGTGTACGTGTCCCCGTGAAATTTTATATCGGACCGTACACCGACGATGCACCCTGCGGCTTCGACGAAACAATTTTTCCGGGATGGGGTGTCGGAATACCGGAGTGTCCGACATTGCCTTAATTATCGAGCGATCCCAGTTATGCGAAAAGGGAAGCCGTTGCGAGCTTTCGAATTCGGTTTAACCGTTCGCTTAAATATTCGATGGTCTAACAAGGAACGCTGTTCAAATCGTGATAAGGTGGCACGGTCTCTGTAAATTGTTGCAAACCGTTTCCTCGTGAAATGTGTCCTCCTCCCTGAATCGTAGCAGCGGCAGGTCCAGCGAAAATTTGATTATGTGCTATCGATGCAAACATGTGATCAAATGTGATCACTCGTACGTCTGTCATAATTGCAATTTTGACAGCGAATAATCACTGG